GGGCCGCGGGGCAGCGAAAATCGATGCACCTAAGGGCGCATTTCGGGCCGAAAAAAAGCAGAGAACGAGATTCGGGCAGGAACACGGAAGGTTTAACGGTGGGCCCTAAAAAAAAAATCGTCCTAGGCTAGGAACGTCATAGCTCTGATACCATGTTAGAATAGTATGAAGGGTGAATGTCGAGAGAGTTGGTACAAAATGAAAACCTAAGGGGTTGTACTCCACAGTGAGTACCCCACTAAAGCCTACCTAAAGTATAACATATAAACATATGTTTGACAAAATCCATCAGCACTATAGTCAACATCAGCATACAAAGCATACTGACGAGCATCATCCATACACAGATCAAAGACAGGAATCTTACGGGCCAGCAGGCGAGCCCAGCGCGGAGTGGTCGCCTCAGGGCCCAACGGGCGCGGCAGAGTGGTCGTCGCGGCCGCAGACACAAGGGCTGCCCGGTCCGGTGAGGCACCAGTGGTCACAGGGGCCGGTGTCACGGCAAGGGGGGTGAGGGGCCCAGCTGGAACTGCTGCTGCTGCGGCCGGAGCTCCCTGGTCCTCCCGGACCCCACTGCGGCGGGGGGCCCCAGTGCTGCTGCGGACCCCACTGCAGTGGGGGCCCCCAAGGCTGGAACTGTTGCGGTGCTTGCTGCTTCTGCTGTCCCTGCTAGTGCTGGTGTCTCTGCTGTGGCTGGTGATGATGTGGCTGCTGCTACTGAGGTCCGACACCCCCGCCGGTCTGAACACTGCCAGTAGGCGGGCCTGTCTGTCCCAGCTCCACCGCCACCACCACCGCCTCCTCCACCTCCCTTCCCGCCCTTTTTGCCACTCTTGCCCCGTTTCTGTCAGTCAGCGACAGAGAGGGCAGCAGTGTCCTCAACAACCGACACAGTAGCAGAAGCGCGGGTAGCAGTGAAAGTGGGAAGATGAGGGGCGGCACACCCCGCAAAAAGACGGGGGGGCACTGCGTCAGTGGCGGAGGCAACGGAGAGAGGTTACTCTCGATCTAATCGAGAGCGGTCTCAAGGAGATCGATAGTAAGCTCAGTGGGGTGCTTCTGGAGAAGCACATCACGAGCAGTTTCAAGGCGGTCAGGGAGGCGCGTGACTAACCAGTGCACAGTGAGCCACATGGGGGGGGAGGGGGGGGGGGGGGGGCAACAAGAAGCTGGGCATCGGTGTAGGCCGCACGGAAACCGGCGTCAAGTGAACGCAGGTGAGTCACGAGGTCGGACACAGTCGAAAACGAGCCAAGGTCGGGAAACACGAACGGCATGAGGAGGCGACTGAGGGAGGCAGAGGAAGGGATGGAATAGCGCGCAACAACAGCATCCCAAATCCCCTGCGCAGTATCTATCTGGGCAAAGGGGACGGCCTCAGTCGATGGGAGGAGCTTCGTCGGCGTAAGAGCAGTGGCAGCGTCGCGAGAGTCCCACATGTCCCTCGCCAAGACACGACGATCGTAGTCCGCTTGCGCCGCAGGAGTCGGCTCCGGGTCGGTCAGGAGGGGGTCGGGAGGCAGGGGCGCCTTGAGGGCACCAGAAGCGTGGGCCAATAGGGTGGCACCGTCCTGGCGCTGACTGGTGAGGTAGCGCATGGCCTGGCGCTGCCAGGTACTGATCTCGATCGGACGGCCCTCCGCATCGAAACGAAGGCGGCGAGACTCCATGCTGGAGGCTAGGCTAGAGGCGGCTGGAGGCTAGGCGCTAGGCTAGAGACTAGGCTACAGAGGGTCGCCAGGGAGAGGAGCGGCTGCCAGCCACTGAGCAGGAGGCCAGTGACAGTAGGGACGGTTCGGGCCTGGGGAACAGGGTGGTGGTGTTATAGTCACAATAGGCTTGAATGTGCCTAAAACGAAAGATATTGTGCACGGTCGGATTTCTGCACAGCGGCTTCAAACGTTGATAGCGTTCTAGTCACAACTCCAAATGACCTAATTCAAATTGGATCTGGAGCGTCGTAACGTCGCCTACATTAGGCAATTTTGATAGCACGATTTCATTAAGTATTGATGACGCAACGTTGGTTTGAACGAACGGCACTATGGCAGCCACTATAGTCTTAGAACACAAATTAGGAAGAGTTGCGAGTTGGGAATGACTCCCAGCTCCTACAAACCCCAAGAGCCGAGGTACAGTGATGTGGAACATTGCCACACTGTTCCCAACCACGAAGGGTCTCGAAAATACCCTCCACAAGGGCCTACACCAAGAGAAATATTACACTACACATTGTAATGTAACTCTTCTCACTATCTTGAAGTTTACCTTTTTGGAGTGCATCGAAATCACTTGAATCTTGAAACCAAGGCTCTGGTTCTTCAAGATAAATTCTTCCTTGAGTTCTTGGAAGTCTGCTGCGCACACCTGCGACACGCCGAACGTTCCACACACGACAAAACAGAAAACCGCACACGACACGCAAACGACGACGTGACACGCGACTAGCGATAACTCGCTATTGACTCAACACATACATTCAAAAATCATGCCTCATCATTCACACACTATTGTAAGCATGAAATATATATTATCTCATGCTCTCATACCATTCCATGCACACACGCATGCACACACACGGACAACAAGCCGAGTGCAAACCGTAGGGTTGCACCAACAGGTGGAGGGGTGAAGGCTAATGCTAACAGGGGGAAAGGGCGTGGGCAGAGGGCGGGCTAGGCGCTGCCTGGGGCTCGGGCTGGTGCGAGGGCAGGGCGCGGGCCTGGGCGACGGGCTAGGGCGAGGGCCTTGGCGACGGGCTGGGGCGCGGGCCTGGGCGACGGGCTGGGGCGCGGGCCTGGGCGACGGGCTAGGGCGCGGGCCTGGGCAACGGGCTAGGGCGCGGGCCTGGGCGCGGGCCTGGGCGACAGGCTAGGGCGCGGGCCTGGGCGTCGGGCTGGGGCGCGGGCCTGGGCGATGGGCTAGGGCGACGTGTAGGGCGCGGGCTTGGGCGACGGGCTAGGGCGCGGGCCTGGGCAACAAGCTAGGGCGCGCGCCTGGGCATCAGGCTAGGGCGCGGGCCTGGGCGTCGGGCTGGGGCGCGGGCCTGGGCGACGGGCTAGGGCGACGGGCTAGGGCGACGGGCCTGGGCGACGGGCTAGGGCGACGGGCTGGGGCGCGGGCCTGGGCGTCGGGCTAAGGCGCGGGCCTGGGCGTTAGGCTGGGGCGCGGGCCTGGGCGACGGGCTAGGGCGTGGGTGTTGGCGACGGGCTAGGGCGACGGGTAGGGCGCGGGCCTGGGCGACAGGCTAGGGCGACGAGCTGGGGCGCGGGCCTGGGCGACGGGCTAGGGCGCGGGCCTGGGCGTCAAGCTGGAGCGCGGGCCTAGGCGACGGGCTAGGGCGCGGGCCTGGGCGACGGGCTAGGGCGCTGGCCTGGGCGTCGGGCTAGGGCGTGGGCCTGGGCGACAGGCTAGGGCGATGGGCTAGGGGCGCGGAGGGCGCTGACGCACGGAGGAGGAGGGCGCTAAGGCGCGGAGAGGGCGCGGAGGGCGCGGAGGCTAAGGCGCGGAGGGCGCGGAGGGCGCGTGGTAGGAAGGAACGAGGAACTAACCTACTCGTGATACCATCTCAAATTAGGAATGCAACGGAATGATGAGATTAGGAATGTGGGTGATACAAATAGCAAACCCTAACTGAGTTGTACTCATTAAGGAGCACCTCACTACAGCCTATCACAAATAACAACATTTGACATGTTGGCGCGGCTCCTCTACGCAACGCTGGCAGGCGGTCGACCATGCTGTGCTGTCAGTCGACCAGGCTAGCTGCAGAGTTCCTAGGTGCGTGATGTAGTCATTGTTGTCATTGCTTCTTCAACAATTCTGTAATTTCGACTTTGCTAGTGGAAACTCTTGCCGATTTCTCCCGTGATTGTGCAAGCACTAAGGAACTAGGCAAAGCTACGATCACTCCTAGTAGTTCGTGCCAACCCCCGTGGTCTAGCTCACTACCGTTGTAGAGTGAATCTCCTCAATTTTTAGCATATCTTATAATCCAAACTAGCTCTCATACCATGTTAGAAGAAGGATCCTTGGATAGAATAAGCCTGCTAGAGTTTGGTAGCGGATATCTTGCAGTAGTGGTAGGAACCTTGTGCATAGTGAATGCAGATGACAAGATTGATCAAAAGAGAAAATTACACACAATAAATAGATCTAACTAGCCATGTACTCTAAGGGGTGGATTCCGTTATTATAACTATAATACAGGGATATCTACAGTGACTCTGATTCTTGCTCTTCTACAGTGACTTTTGGGGGCAATTGTAGTGCTAACCCTTTGGCGTGTGTTCATTGGGAAGCGAAGTGAGCGTATCCTTCAAACACCAGTGCGACGTAGTCGAACAAGGATAGCGAGTCCAACCAATTTCGTGAGAAGGTTGGGTTGGGGGAAGGAAAGGCGGAGGGGAAGGAATAGCAGCGCATAACCTCACACTTCAAGTTCTACTTCACTTCACACACCATCCACTAGAACCTACTTACAGATCTTTCAACACGCGCTGAAAAGCCTAACACAGCACGATGTGCGCTCCTGGACGTAGGCGACTGTGGCGAACACAGCACAGCAAGTTCTGAGCTGCAGGGCCGACAAGGCGTGCAAGTTGATGTATTAGAGTAGCCCAGGGAGGCCACGGATAGAGCATGATTTTGATACGCTCATTCCGGGCCGCCCATGCCGCCTTCGGCGCATCTCCCAATCCGCGCTCGTCGCATCTCCTAATCCGCCCTCGTTGCATCTCCTAGTCCACCCTCGTCGCATCTCCCAATCCGCCATCATCGCATCTCCTAATCCGCCCCCGTCGCACCTCCACGAAGCCGCCCGTAGCGTTGCCTCTCACGTCTCTTTGCAACATCGCGGCCGACCCGGCTACGTCGCAGTCTCTTCGCCACATTGCGGCATCCTCACTGCGTCAACGCCTGCTCGTCGCGTCGCCATGTGAGCGACCCATTCGTCACGTAGCAGCCTCGCTGCCACCTCGCCGTATCGCGAACGACGCAACCTACGCGCCACGTCGCCTCATCGGCGCAATCTGCCACACCGCCCTCGTCGCATCCTCCTCACCCTCTCGCGTCCTCGCCAAAGTCGCCTCCGCGCTGCTTCCCATCCTGGCCGTGTCACCTCCACCGTTACTTCGCCTCCTCATCGCCGCCTCGCCTCCCCACTCTCCTTTGTGTCCGCCTCTCTTCTTACCGCCTCCGTTGTCCTCCTCTCTCCCCATGTCCTGTCCCCTTCTCTCCCCCCTGTCCTCCTCTCCTCCCCCTGTCCTGTCCCCCCCTCTCCCCCCTGTCCTCCTCTCTCCCGTCTGTCCTGTCCCCTTCTCTCCCCCCTGTCCTCCTCTCTCCCCCCTGTCCTGTCCCCCCCCTCTCCCCCACTGTCCTCCTCTCCCCCCCTGTCCTCCTCTCTCCCCCCTGTCCTCCTCTCTCCCTGCCCTCCCACAGGGAACGAACACAGGGTAAGCAGGTGGAACAAGGGGGAAACAAGTGGTAAGCAGGGGGGAAAGAAAGAGTGCGTAAGGGGGAAACAATGGGTAAGCAGGGGGGAAAGAAAGAGTGAGCAGGGGGGAAATAAGGGAGGTCAAGGAGGGAAGAGAGGACAGGGAGGGAAGAGGGGGGAGAGGACAGGGAGGGAAGAGGGGGAAGAGAGGACAGGGAGGGAAGAGAGGACATGGAGTGAAGAGAGGACTGAGAAAGAAGGGCAGGGAGGGGAGATAGTGGAGAAAGTGAATGGAAATAGTTGAGCAAAGGAGAGAGGGGAGGAAGGGGGAAACAAACGGACAGCAGGGGGGAAGAAAAGGGTAAGAAAGGGGGGAAACAAACGGTAAGCAGGGGGGAAACAAAGATTAAGCAGGTGAGGAAACCAAGGGTATTTATGGGGGAGGCATGGGGGGAAACGGTGGGGGGATACAGACCGGTGATGGAGGGAAAACGGAACGAAGCAGGGGAAACGGCGAGCATCGAGCGGAACCGCGAGGAGTGGCAACGCTGAAACGGGGAGCGGAAAGCAAGGAGCGGAAACCGAGGAGCGGAAAACGAAGAGCGGAAATCGATGAGCGGAAAGCGGAAAACGAGGAGCAGTTCCGGTGATGAGGCGAGCTAAACGCAGCGACGAGGCGAGCAGGACACGGCGACGAGCACAGAGCAGAACGTGGCGGCGAGCGCGGAGCAAAACGCGGTGGCAAGCGCGGAGCAAAATGCGAAACCGAGCGCGGAGCAAAACGCGGTGGCAAGCGCAGGGCAAAACGCGGCACCGAGCGCGGAGCAGAAGGCAACGGTGTACTTGAATGCGCGTCTGATTAGCGGCCGACGCGGGCAATGTCGCAAGAACGCACTGGTGGAGCTGGGCGGCACAGGTTGTTATGAGCTACTCTTATCTCAGCTTCGGCATAACTACGTGAGAGAAGATGGAATGAACTTGGGCTCTCATGGGCGTGAGAGTTTTGGTACACAAACTCTGTTATGAGTTGTAAAAGAGAGTGCGCAGTTTAACGAATAGCGAGAAGTGATTGAACAGACTGATTATAAAATGAAGGTACATGCTTATATAGTGAGTAGGCTAGCTAGGAGGGAACTTCGGGTGAGTGAGGTTGGGTGCAGGTTTGGCGAAGAGAAAAGCCGAAGGCGACGCGAGGAGGCTCGGCATCGTTGATGTCGGCCAAACGTGCAGAGTCCGAAAATCGGGGCTGTACGCGAAGCAGTCAACCCCGATAAGGAATTCAGGAAAATTCCTTACACTACCCCCCCCTTTAAGCAAGGTGGTCAATATCCGCTGCACGCTTGCGGGCGAGGTAATCACCAACAAGCGAAGAGTCTGCAAGCGAAGCGAATGGTACCCATGTGTCGTCCTCACTGGTGCGGTCAGTCCAGCGGATTAAAAAATCCACGTGGCGGCCGGTGGCATCCAGGCGAACACGATGCGCCAAGATCTTGGACGGGTCAAGGGTCGGTTCGGGCACCGGGCGTGCCGTTGGTGCAGCTTGTTGCCGAGCGATGTCGGTCGTGGCTGGCACGAACTGGCGAAGTAAGCTGACATGGAAGGCATCGTAAATGCGCCAGTCGTCGGGTAGCAGCAGCTTTGCGGTGACAGGTGTCACCATCTTGATAATTTTGAAAGGTCCGCAGAATCGTGGCCGCAATTTCGATGGGCCTGGCAAGCGCAGGTTCTTCGTGTCGAGGAGGACTAATTGCCCAGCTGTCAAGATGAGTTCCCGTCGGAAAAGGTCGGCGTATTTTCGGGAAGTCGCCTTGCGATTTGCGTTTGTAGCTTTTTCGCGGACTTCCTGTCGTTCCGTCACGAATGTTTGTGACCGCGGGACCGGATTGTCGAGTGTAGTTGTGGTAGGCACCATCGGGTCCATCCCGTAATTCAAAAAGAACGGGGAGTGATTAGTCGTGCTGGACGTGTCAAACTTATATGCTATAGTGGGGTAGTTCTTACAGGGTACAACACTTTTAGGTTTCCTATATATACCCACCTGCTTTCTAGTTCAGTCATTTATTCGTTCACATTCTAACATGGTATTCTGAGCAGGTTCCTTAGTGGGAACGTCTTTTTCTTGGGCCCACCACGATTTTTTTTTTCCTACCCGAAGCGCGCCTCGCGCCTGTTTCACCTGCGCTGTCGCGCCCCCTGCCCTTGTGCCGCCCGTCGTGGCCCTGCCTTAGCGGCCCGTCGTGGCCCTACCTTAGAGGCCCGTCCCGGCCCCTCCCTAGAGGCCCGTCGCGGCACTCCCTAGAGGCCCGCCCCGGCCCCGCCCTAGAGGCCCGTCGCGGCCCGTCTCGGCCCCTCCCTAGAGGCCCGTCCCGTCGCGTCCCGGCCCCTCCCTAGAGGCCCGTCGTGGCCCTGTCTTAGAGGCCCGGCCCGCCCCGGCCCGTCGCCGGCCTTTCCCGGCCCGTTCCAGCCCGTCGCCGGCCCGTTGCCGCCCGTCGCCGGCCGTCGCCGGCCGTCGCAGACCCGTCGCCGGCCCATTGCCGCCCGTCGCCGGCAGTCGCTGGCCCATTGCCGCCCGCCGCCGGCCCGTCGCCGGCACGTTGCCGCCCATCGCCGGCTGTCGCTGGCCCGTTGCCGCCCGTCGCCGGCCAGTCGCCGGCCCTTTGCCGCCCGTCGCCGGCCGTCGCCGGCCCGCGGCCGCCCGTAGCCGGCCCGTCGCCAGCCCGTTGCCGCCCGTTGCTGGCCCGTCACTGGCCTGTCGCGGCCCTACCTGCACCGCCCGTAGCGGCCCTGTCCCCTACTGCCGCCCCAGTTGCGGCCCTGTCTGCACCCGCCCCTGGTAAGCACCCGCGCCGCCAGGAGCCGAGCCGCGCCGCCCAGCCGAGCCGCGCCGCCCAGCCGAGCCGCGCCACCCCACCGCGCCGCCCTGCCCTACCGAGCCGCACTGCTGTGCACTGCCCTACTGCCTCTGCTCCTACTGCTGCTACTGCTGCTTTTGCTGCTACTGCTACTACTCTTGCTACTGCTCCTACTGCTGCTATGGCTAGTCCTACCGTTCTTACCTTTGACGCTGAGGGACGTGCAGTTGACTTTGACGTGTGGGTTGACGACCTCCAACTCTTTCTTCAGTGTGATTCTAGGGATGGGGTGTCCCTTTTTGATCACACGTCCGGTGTTTCTACTGCTCCTACTGCCACTGCTGACAGTACGGTTCGCTCGCAGTGGACCACTCGTGACGCTGTTGCTCGTCTTGCTGTTCGTAGTCACCTGCCGCCTGCTGAGCGCGCGCATTTTGGCCAGTACAAGACTGCTCAGTCTTTGTACGACGCTGTAGTTGCGCGCTACTCCTCCCCTGCCACTGCTGCCCTCAGCCGCCTCATGCTGCCGTACCTTTTCCCTGACCTTGCTGCCTTTGCCACAGTCGCTGACCTAGTTGCTCACCTTCGCACTAGTGACGCCCGCTACTGCGCTGCCCTTCCCACTGAGTTCTGTGCCAAGAACCCCCCCCCCCCCATGTACATCACCCTTTACTACCTAGTCACCCGCCTCCCTAACTCACTTTCTTCAGTCAGGGACCACTTTCTCTCCCTTTGCCCCACCGAGCTGACTGTCGACCTGCTAGAGGAGCGCCTTACTGCAGCTGAGAAGAGTATCTTAGATGTAGGCGCTTCTCGCGGCGACCGTCGCACCCCTTTCTTTGAGGGGTGTTCCCCTGTCCCCCTTCTCCCCTCTGTTGCTTCTGCTGCTGCTGTTGACCTCATTGGCACTGAGGAGGTCAGAGCTGCGTCTGCCCCTAGTGGGAGACGCCGCAACAGCAGGGGCAAGGGGAGCAAGGGTGGTGGAGGGGGTGGCGGGGGGGGTGGTGGAGGAGGTGGAGGAGGCGGAGGGGGTGGCGGTGGAGGTGGGGGTGGTACCGGGAGTGGGGGCTTCAGTGGCGGCGGTGGAGGTGGTGGAGGCAGCGGCGGAGGTGGAGGAGGCAGCAGCAGCGGTGGTGGAGGTGGCGGCGGTGGTGGTGCTGGTCGAGGTGCAGCCGCGCAGCATAGAGGCTTTGGTGGTAGCCAGCGCCAGCAGCAGCCGCGCTCCCGTGAGACTCTGTCGGTCCAGCAGCTTCGTGAGTGGTACGCTGGGCGTGGGAGGTCTGGGGGTGCTGGTCCCTGCACTTACGTTCTTCGCTCCAGCACTCGTAGTGGGGAGGTGTGTGGGCTCCCACACACTACGCAGCGCTGCTTCGGTCGCTTGACTGACGCTTGGCGTGCCCAGTTTCCTGACGCCGTTGAGCTCCCTCGATGGCATGATCTGCTTCTGCAGGATGTGCCTATCTTTGATCTTGATTTCGATGCTATCCTTGCTGCCATGTATGCTATTGCTGATAGTGCTGAGGGTGACTGTTACCTGCGTGTCCCGCCCGACCCGGGCATTGTGACTGCTGCTCTAGGTGCTAGTGCGTCTGCTGCTCCAGGTGCTGGTACGTCTGCTGCTCCAGGTGCTGGTGCCTTTGCTCTCTCTGGTACAGCACCTACTGAGTCCTTGCACACTTTCACACTTGACTCTGGTGCTTCGCGCTCTTTCTTTAGAGACAGCACCACGCTCACGCCGCTCAGTCGGCCTGTTGCGGTCTCCCTTGCTGACCCCTCCGGGGGCCAAGTCCTTGCACACTCCTCCACGGTTCTACTGTGTCCTGCGGCCCCGTTGGGCTTGCTGTTGGGACTCCACCTCCCCTCGTTCTCTACGAACTTGGTGAGTGGAGCTGACCTCCAGGACGCGTGGGTTGACCAGTTCACACCTGGAGGTCAGCGTGTGACCCACTGCACTTGCTCTCGGACGGGCCGCCACCTGGCCACGTTCACCCGTCGGCCAGGGTCGAGTCTGTACACACTGACTACTGCGCCTCCTCCGGTCCCTGCGTCTGGTCAGGTAGCTGCGTCTAGTCAGGTGTTTGCTGCCGCGTCCAGGTCTAGTCCTGCGTCTGCCCCCTGCTCGTGTCGTCCTCTGGCACACGAGACTCTCCTTTTGCACCACCGCCTTGGTCACCCCTCCCTGCCTCGTCTTCGAGGTATGGCCTCCCGTGCTCTTGTCTCTGGGCTCCCCAGGTCCCTCCCTCCCCTTCCTCCGGGGCCTGCCCCCACCTGTGTTCCTTGTGTCAAGGGCCGGCAGCGTGCCGCTCCTCACTCCTCCTCGTTCCCTCCGACTGAGGCCCCTCTGCAGACTCTTCACATGGACGTGTGGGGCCCAGCCCGCGTCCGTGGACAGGGTCACGAGCGCTACTTCCTGCTGGTCGTTCACGACTACTCGCGTTACACCACCGTCTTCCCCTTGCGCAGCAAGGGTGAGGTCCCTGAGGTGTTGATCGACTGGATCCGCGGTGCTCGTTGCCAGCTCAGTGAGAGTTTCGGCTCAGACCTTCCTGTTCTGCGTCTGCACTCAGACAGAGGCGGGGAGTTTTCCTCCGACCTCCTCAGAGCCTTCTGTCGTTCGGAGGGCATCCGCCAGACGTTCACGCTTCCGGCCTCCCCGCAGCAAAATGGGA